CTACAACCTAACACCACCATCCCAAACATATTGCATTCTGATACCAAAAAATGATCTTCTTCATTCACTTCCATGTCCTTTACGCACCACCATTCATACCATCATGCTTCATCTGGGCCATAAGCTTCCCAACAGCAGGTCCCATGATAGCAAAAGTCTCAAACGCCACAACGTGGAAGAACACAACCATCATTCCGGCAAGGATGAAAAAGTTCTTAGCGTAAAGCTTGATGAGGCGGCGACGAGCTTCCCAGTTAAAGGACCTCCAGGCATCCAGGAAACCGACAACACCAGTTCCACCCATCATCTTGCTGACAACCTTTCCGCCAAAAGAGCGGTCAAAGGGGACAATGGTATCCTGGTCGTCGGGGAGAATGGAAGCTTCGATGCGGACGCGGGTGACGAGAGCGGGGAGGCAGAGGAAAAGGCTGCAGGTGATTGCGAAGATGGCGACGCCAAGGATACGTGCGATGAAGCCCATTTTCTGGGCGCAGGTAGTTACGGGTTCCATGTCGTCAAAGCCGAGCAGCATGACGAGGCCGACGGTCAGGTACATGCTGATGTACGGCATGGCAGAGGCGATAGCGGCAGGGAGGGCGAGTGTCTTCCAGTGGCTCTTGGCGGGGATGCGCTGGCAGAACGACCGCTCGGTGGGCATGCCGACGACCTTGTGCGTCCATACGGCGTGGATGCGAGCGAGGAGGGCGCCGGAGATGGCAGCGCTGAGGATGGCTTGGCCGGGAAGGAAACCGAGGGCGCCGTTGAAGAAGGTGAAGACGAGGCTGTTGAGGAGCGAGTACACAATGTGGATTCTGTATCCCCTGAAGCGGGCGAAGCGGCCGGCGTTGGCAACCAGGTGGCGGATCGTGGCGCGGATGGACGAGGTGATGGGCTTCTGGTTGACGAGGGCGATCGTGGGACCGGTTTCAAGGAGTGTCTCTTTCTCGCCTTCTTTGGCGGAGGGCTCTTGGGCCGAGGGCGTCACGGTGATGGCGGCCATGGGGGACTCGACCATGCTGAGGGACGTGATGACATGGTTCAGCATGTAAGATACCTAGGAGTTACGTGGTTAATTCATGGCCTCAACAGTACAAGGCTGAACAGGGGAATACTCACGAGGCTGAAGGCAATGCTACCAACCAAGACGGTCAGGTAGACGACCACGATGCCCCAGGTAGGGAGCTCGACTTCCTCTCCGTCGCCATGCTTGATAGCCACAGCGCGCTTGACAAACGTCGCCGTCTGCGGGTGCGAGACGGCGCGACGAGTGAGCTCAATGAGCATAGTCATGGTGGCTGCTCACTATGCCGAGATGCCAGTAACAACAAAAAACTTGTTGGTCAAGGAGTAAACAGTCAGAGTAGGTAAAGGGAAAACAAGGTACAAAGGAGAGAAATGGGTCGACCGGCTGACGGGCGGGGGATGTTGTTGGTCTTCAAGGTCAGCACTGGAATAGGCGGCAGCGTAACAAGGAGGAGGCGAAGCGGCCCCGAGCCAAGTGGCTGTGCTGAAACTGACGCAACAAATCGGTGGCCTTGTGCACTGGCCATGTTCCACTTAGCCGCCGATCTGCCTCTCTCCACCTAAATACATACATGATACCCAGGTATCTCTACTACTTGGCACAGACTATGGATGGTGCAAGATAAGCCTGCATGCACTCCCCGGATCTACGCTGCATTGTTGTTCTTTGAGGAAAGTATTCAAAAGGACAGGTACAACCTCTGCTCAGGTATACATTGCGCGTCTGCATCAAGGCCACGTTTGAGAAAACGTCAGCAGTACATGCGTTCCGATACTTACATTCAGGCATTATGTCTATTAAGCGGAGCATCAGACACATCTTCACCATCAAAAGTTGGAGTACCGTCACGCATAGTTCACACCACTTTTGGTCACGCGGCAATCACTAAAAGACAATTTTGATTAAAACTCCCATGTTGCCATGATTATCATGCCCAAACCCCACCCACAAGAAACAAGGCCGTGAAAACAAAAGCTGGTGAATGCAGAGGGAATACTTGACACGCTAGACTAGAAACACGAAAAACAAAGGTTCTTGAGAAAGGGCATGCACAGCGGCCAGCGTTGTTTCCAATTTCCGGGCTTCCGAAATGTCGAAACTGGCACCGTCCGTATTTCGTCCGCAGTCATCCAAATGGTGAGTGCGTGCGAGGGTAGTCGTAGCATGTTCACAGGTTGGACGCGCAAACGGTTTCGAGGTATGCACGCAGCGCGCAAGACACTCAGTGTAAGATGGTCGCACTGGAACAGCTTACTTGGCAGCCTGTGCGACTGGCACGTCATCCTCCTCTTCAGAAGATGACTCGGCAATGGGCTCGTGCTTGGGGGCGTTGGGCAGAGTCTGCTTCTTGACCTCTGGCGAAGCGGAACGTCCACGGTACTGGTTGACAGTCTCTTGAGCCTTTGCGGTAGCCTGTTGGGTGTAGCCCTGGACAGTCTTCATAGCGTTTTCAGCATGCTGGTTGGCGAGGCCCTTGACTTGCTGAGCCTGCTGGTTGGCAATGGTGTAGCCCTTCTCCAACTGAGCGTCGATGACGTCCTTGTTCTTGATGTAGATGAGGGGACCGAGGAAGGCAATGTGCGTCGCGATCAAACCCAAGCCCCAGAGAGGAACCCACTTGATCAGGAAGTACGAGATGAGGGATGCGAAGAAGGCCTAGTAAGGGACAAGTCAGTCACAATATCTTGCATGTGCAGACGGCAGCTCAAGAGCTCTACTCACAGCAACGGTGACGTAGACGTTCTCGGCGAAAACGATACGCTGGGATTCGATGACGAAGAAGTTGATGAGCTGCTCGAAATCATCCGTCAGGCGCTCGAGCGAGGCCTTTGGAATCGTGAAGTACTGTCGTGGCCTGAACTGGGAGGTGATGCCACGCCCAATAGTCAGCTGCCCCGCGATCTCGGCAGTAGCAGTAGCACCAAGAACCAAGTATGAAGACTTGAAGATGTAGCGGATCAGGTTCAGGTAGCGTGCGGCGAAGATGAAGACAACGGTGCTAGCAAAAGCGATGGCGGTAGCGCGGGGGTTCTTCCAGCTCAGGAGGCGGTAAAACATGCTGTGGTAGTCTGGTCGTGGCGTGGTTAGCTGTGCGGTTGCTCCTAGAGCTCCTCTTGGACCTACGAGTGAGGTTCTGACCAGTCGCCGCCTTCTGGTCGGGAATGGTCTTTGAGTTTGCAAGATCAGCGAACTCATCGCGGGTCTTTGCGCCCTCTGCCTTGACGTTCTGTGCAACGGGTCCTGCGGAATTTAGCTACTGGTCGTGTGCGTGCATGCGGGCACTTTCGGAAACTGCATGGAGTGTGAGCTGGTTGTGCAAAGCAAAAGTGCGGGCCAAGTATACGTACCTTACCGTTCATGACGGTGTTTTTGATATTCTGCACGCTGGGATGGTTGTTTGCGGCGTTGATGGCGTTTGAGGCAGCTGTGTGTGTGTGTCAGGTTAGGAATTCGGATGTGGTGCGGGCCGCAGATAAGACTGTGATGTATGGCGTTAGCTTGCGTCTCGGCAAATGGTCGAGGTCATTCTGTGCCACTTACCCTACAATCTAGGAGAGAGCCGTTTGTCTGGACCGCGCCGTTGGGCAGGCTGTGGTCTGCGTTGCCGTTGGGCAGCGGGGCAGCGTCAGAGTTCATCTGGGACAGCTTCTGGTTGACGGGCGCGGTAAGGTCGAAATCGAGATCTGTACTGTTGAGTTCCACACGTGGGGCTTCTCCGGACATTGCTTTGGGGGTGGATATTTGCAGTTTCAGGCAGGTATCAATTGCAAAGGGGAGGGAAAGGGTCAAAAGGGGGTCTGAGGAGAAAAGGAGAGATGGCGGAGGAGCTGGGTTGGTTTTGTTCTGAGGCTGTCGTGTGCACAGTTTGGTGGGCGTTCACTCCAACGTCATATGGCTCCACACGGAACTTGGTGGGCTTGCTGTGATTTGTTTCCGCGGGCCTGGACGACGTACCTCAAGCAGCTACAGGTTTCATTCTGCAGGCCATTCGTCATTGCCATTGCAAAGTGCCAGCCGCACGCGCAGTCTGCAGTCGCATTTGCAGTGCTTGCTGCAGTTTGCTTGTGGGCGAGTGACGGAAGGTGCTCACGTGCCAGTCCCGGGCATGGGCGGTTTCACATGTGAAAGACGAGCCCAACGCTCTAGCAGTACGGCTATGTTGCTCACATGACGCCATAGCATATTTTGCACGCATGACGCTGTTCAAGTAGATTTTGCTGCACGCCTGATCTTGGTCTAGGTAGCTGAGGTGTTTGCATGTGTACGGGTTGTGTTTGGGTTGATTTTGGTGTTTGTGCGTGATTTGGCAAGTAGTAAGTAGGTAGGTGTGAAATGTGTCGGCTCGTGGTTTCGTCCACCAGGTACGAGGTGCACGTCCCCCCCTGCGTAGATCACCATCTCGCCTGTCACCTGCTTTGCATGTCCGGTGCTTATGTATACACAGTAGATGGTACATGTACACATGTATGTACTGTGGGTATGTATGTATGTATGTATACATGCATACTTAGTACACGGCCATGCTTGCTATGGTGCTGACACCAGACGGGCTGAGGGATTTTGGGCAAGTTATTCCTCATCCGACAGCAAACCCCCGCCTAGCCACAGCTGCCGGTGTGGTCGCTGATACGTCGACAGCAATCACAGCAATCGCAATCGTCTGTGAGAGGAAGGTGCGGATGGAGGCACAACAGCACTCGCACTCGCACTCACCCTCACCCTCACCCTCACCCTCAGGGGGAAGTCAGCCTGAACAGTCAGCACTGCCAACCCGCGCGGGGTTCTCTAGGCAGTCCAAGAGCTCGTGAAGGCCAGACAGCGAGATTCGCTTCCCGTCGCTCCGATGGCGGTTCATCGAGTTTAAGTATGTACTTATTCCATGGCCGGTGGCACTGCTCTTGCCCGGTTCGGGCGATTGCTGCAACCGACAGAGTGAGAAGGCCCGCGCCGGGGCAGGAGGAGTTCACTTGGGCAGTCAGGGTCTCGTTGTCGCATCAGGCAGGCGCACAGGGCAGCCCTTCCCACGCGACTGCCCGGCGATGGAGGTGGCAGGTGGGGGTAACGAGCCAGGCCAGGAAGGGGGGGGGACCTCACGCACAAGCACAAGCGCCTTCGCCGCAGCCACCGCCGTCGCCGTCCCCCTCGCCGTCCCGGCTCTCTGCGCAAATGCGCCACGCGTACGATAGCCCCAGCCCGCAATGACAACAAGACTTGCTGATGCGATAATGCGCACATTCACATTCACCCTCAGCCATCCAACCGCCCGGCACACCCCGATCCCGGCCCTCGGATCGTGTCTGGGTCCAGCTTTCTCCCAAGCCCTCGTGCCGCCAATGTCTAGGGAGCTGCGAGTACCCCAATTGGCGAGGGCCAATACTCCAGCGAGGCCCCAACCCGTCACCGCTGTCTCCAGGTCGGAGGCGTGTTTGACCCCCCGCCTCCACGTCAACCTGCCCCAGTCGTCCGTCTGCATTGTCTGCACAAGGAGCCTACAAGCGCCATGGCGCGCTCCTCATACCCAGTAGCAGTAGTAGCACCATGCAGGTGGCCTCCGGGGTGATGTGATATAAACGACCGACACCATTGCCCTTGACTTCGGGGCGACTCGACTACACGACAAAACCCGGACACGACACGAGACAAGACGGCCGCTGACTGCACCAACACATGCCCAAGCCGCTCCCAGCCTCTCTCGTCCCATGCCATCCCACTGATCCCCGACACGCCAAACCCATGCCTATCAGCACCCACCGGGATCTGGATCCAAACTCGGTGGGGGGACATTGGCACCGCACGGCATCAGGCAGCGTGCGCGCTTTCAAACCACAGACGCGGGCTGTAGTGATTTTGTGGCGTGCCTCCGAATCCTGGCCAAGTTCTGCCGTTGCGATAACGACCCACTCACTCGCACTGCGCCTGCTTGGGTTATCACGCACACCTCCGACCCTCAGCCCCGTCACCTGCCGCTCTTCTGCTGCTTGCTGCCTCTCCTTCCTCTTCATCCTCGTCTTCCATTCTGCTGCCCGTGGCCGACGTCCTCAACATTGCCCAACCGCCGCCTTTGGCCTGGCACTCACTCACTCACTCACTCGCAAGATAGCCACTCCGCGCTCCCGGGACCTCGGTACTCCACCAACGTCACCCCAATACCGAAATGGTCAATGCGCCTTCAGCCCACACTCCCGCATCCGTCACCGCCATCGCTCTCGCCCACAATCGATACTGAGCACGCGACCTCCAAACAGCTCCCCCCTCTGCGGAGGCGAGAGTCTGTGAGGACTGCTCCACAGCATCATGATAATACCGCGCAGCTTGTACAGCCCTTCTGCCCCAGAGCCCCGGACTCGCCTGACCAACAATCCCACGCTCTTGTACAGCTGGTGGTGCACCATTTTCTCCGCTGTCATCATAGGCGTTCGCCTGTCCGGCCGCTACATTCGCAATGAACGCCTGTTCCGCGAAGACAAGGTCATGGCGCTCAGCATCTTTCCCCTCTTTGCGCGCATGGGCTTTGTGCACGTCGTCTTGATCTACGGCACAAACAACGTCGATGTTACCGGCTTGACAGACCCCGTTAGAATTCGCCATCGAGAAATCGGTTCGCGCATGGTCCTTGCAGCCAGGATTTTCTACGCGCTCTTGTACGTGTAGCCACCTTTTTCCATTCGTAGCATAACTAATTAATGCCTATTTAGCATCTGGTTGGCAAAGTTCACCGTTTCCGAGTTTCTCAAGCGCTTGACAGAGCGCTTCTGGAAAAAGGGATACGAATGGGGACTGCGCGGTATTCGCATATTCCTCGTGGTTACCTTTTTCATGGTTCTAGTTGCTACCTTTACTGAGTGTCGTCCAATCACTCACTACTGGCAAGTCATTCCCGATCCGGGTCCACAGTGTCGCCAGGGCTATGCTCAACTCCTCACCATGGGCATTGCTGATATCGTCACGGATGTTCTCCTGATTGCCTTTCCGATTCCAATTATTGTTCGCTCAGGCATGCCCTTGAAGCGCAAGATCTCACTAGTGGCACTGTTCTCTTTATCGCTTGGTCTCATCATCGTTACCGGAGCTCGCATGCCTCTAGTCATTGAAAAGAAGGGCCTCCAGCAATTCCGTACCGTGTTTGCCTCTTCCGAAATCCTGGCTGCCGCCATCGTGTCCAACGCAATCATCCTAGGGTCATTCCTTCGCGATCGAGGTGTCAAGAAACCAAAATTCAAGGCGCCCTCGACTACTGACAGCGCTGAGCGTAGAGGGTCATCGCGCCGCTTCACAGACCAGCCCCGCAGCAGCGATGAAGACCTTGCACGATCATTGGGTTATAGGACCAAGCCCGAGCTCTTGGAAAAAACGCCAAGCGTACCCAGACCAGCTCCAGTGGCGAACCTTGACCTCTTGCAGTCTTCGAGGCAGTCTGGCCCTTTTGCAAACAACAACTGGAAATTTCCAGACGAAGAGGGAAGTGTATCGCATGGTGAAGATCGCTCGCACTCAGGGGCTGACGACATCCGAGACCCAATGCCCAGTCCCCGCGGCGGCAGACGGGTATCATGGTTTGATGTGGGCGGGCTACTGGAACAACCAGGAGTAACCCCTTCACCCACAGACTCTGTGGTTGCTCACGATTTCGCGACGCAACCCAGAAGAGGCTCCCGAGCTTCAAACTCAATCATGGCGGCCGGGCGCGCGTTTCTTCCACAAGGTCGACGAAACTCCCGGCTCTCTCAGCATTCCGAGGACTTCGAAATGTCATGCCGGCCGAACCAACAGCTGCAGGACCTGGGTGGTCTGTTGCCTGGGCACCGTGAGCAGGAAGGATCACCATCCACTCCAATTTCAACCCCCAGCCCTTCGGTCGCTCCTCGGTACGCGCCTATACACCGCACATCGACTCGCTCAACACGAACAAGCTATGATGTGCCTTCTCTACAAGACCCTGGGGGCTTACTCTCATCCGCACTCTCTGCCACGTCCCTTCAGCGTACTACTACAAACCAGAGCCGTGACGTGCCTGCGTTGCAGGACGCCGGTGGGCTGCTTGGATGATTACCTCCATTTCTCTTATCCCTAATGTTCCTCTTGTTTGATACCCCGGCCTCAGCGGCCTTTTCATTTGCATAGCCTGCACATTGCTTTTTGCGTTTCCATGACTGCTTGAAGGTTTCTGTTTTTTTTTCACATGTTCGATATCCCCCTCACTCGAACTGGTGTTTATGGGTCTACGATTAATGGGTTATGACGGCTTCACAGGCGCTACCTCGTGTGTCAGGAATGGACTACGAGTGAGGTCTCGGTTTGGAAGGGGAGTCACAAGGCTCGTGTATAATAATCGTATTACATAGTCACCGCTGCGAGTTGCATCGAGCTGGCAGTCTACTGACCTATAAATGGATTTAATATGCATATTCGGCACTTTGGTCTCCATACCTGCAGCATGCTATACTTAACGTGACACGACATGGGTCTGCGCTAAGGCGCAAAATCTACGACGATTACCGAAGCCAGGGTTCAACCCTAAACGCCGCCTAATAAACTTTAACGCCCGGGTAGCGTTCGGGTACTTTGACCATGTCTTGGCTCGTCAACGGCACGGAAAAAGTAGTAAATGGCCTAAGCTCGTGCCACTAGCAATACTAGCTTTGCACAACCACTTACTGTACCATTGTCGTCAGCAACTGCGCTGTGCTCCATCAGAGATGAACAATGATGCGCCTACGCTCCAAGAGATAATTCAACTAACCCGTCAAGAACTTGTTACCCCGCAAAAGACTGATCCCATCCGCGAATGTGGACGTGCTGCACTCGCGCTCCTTCCGGAGAATCCTGAGCTCGGCTTGAAGCTTGCGTATCAGAAACTGCACGATGTTCCTTACAAAGAAGTGAAGACTTGTTGGCGGAGACTATACACAGATGCGACTCTATGGAAGGTGCTAAAGCAGGCAGATGGTGGAACAGAGGAACAGCAACAAGGCACGATAGAGAGTGACTGGATCGATGAGGTTGTGAAATCGCTAGATATGGCCCTCATACTTGCTGGTGCACCTGCAAGAGAAGAGCTGGTAGAACTATGGTTTGCAGCATTGAAAACTGTTTTGGACCTAGAGCGACAAGCAGACGGTGCAAGCTCAGAACGCCCCTCGAAGCGACAAAAGTTATCCTTGCCCTGTCAATTCTCGCCAATCGCTGAAAGGTTTCCCACAGAGCTTTCCAATCCAAAACCAGTCCTGTCACATCCTTTGCAACGAACGAAAGGACTCAGTCTGGAAGCTTTTCAAAGAAAAGTTGGCTCAACAGAAACCCATACACCGTGTATAATCGAGGATGCAATCCAACACTGGCCTGCACTCAACGAGCGACCATGGGCAAATCCAGACTATCTACTCAGCCAAACCCTCGGTGGAAGAAGATTAATCCCCGTCGAGGTAGGCAAAAGCTACACTTCCGAAGGCTGGGGCCAACGCATCATCACATTCCGCTCATTCATGGAAACCTACATGCTCCCTACCACTCGCTCAGCCCACCCTCCCAACCCTCTCCAATCGACACAAGACGAGCCAGTAGTAGGCTACCTCGCCCAACACGACCTCTTCGCTCAAATCCCCTCCCTACGCCTCGACATCACCATCCCAGACTACTGCTACACCGACCCCGCCCCTTCACCTCACCTCCCACACATCAAGCCCGTCGCCAAACTAGACGAACCGCTATTAAACGCTTGGTTCGGCCCTGCTGGTACCGTCTCCCCTTTACACACAGACCCCTACCATAACATCCTCGCGCAAGTGGTAGGCTACAAATACATCTGCCTCTACGCACCGAGCGAAACGCATCGTCTATACCCGAGGAGCGTGGATGAAGTTGGGGTCGATATGAGCAATACGAGCCAAATCGATCTAGACGAGGCGATGCAGTTGTCGGTGGTTCCGAGATTAGCTTGTCCTGAGAGCCCTGTGACTGGGGGTCTCGCCGCAGATGATAATGAAGAAGAGAGGAAGCGTGATTTTTTGGAACGATTCCACGGGTTTCAAGATGCAGAGTATGTAGAGGGGATTCTGGGGCCTGGAGAGTGCTTGTATCTTCCAGTGGGTTGGTGGCATTATGTACGCAGTCTTACGCCGAGTTTTAGTGTGAGTTTTTGGTTTAATTAATGGGAGGGTTGGGTTGGGTTGGGAGGATAATTCACTTTTTTTTTCTCTTAGCGCTGTCGCTGTGTAGGTGTTTTTTTTTAAAGTAGGGTGGGGGGGAGGGTGTTTATTAGGGTTACGGAGCGTGTGATAGCCGTATCTACATATAAACCTAGAAAGGATAAGAATTGAGATTGAGATTGAATATGTTTGGGTCACTACCTACTTCTCTAGCTTAACTCGCTTTCTCCAAGTTAGATTCGAAACCGCGTCAGCGGCAAGTGCGTTTTTTTTTTAAAAAAAAAAATTCTGGTTGGATATGAACGGCAGTCATGCATACAAAGGAAGGGGGTTTTTGTTTTGAAAATATCCATAAAGATCTGTTTTGTTAGATTGACTGGAGATGCATCCTTGAGCAGTTAAACTTTGGTTTCGATGTGGGGATATATATATATATATATATATATATATGTATGTATGTTTTATGCAACGTGATTGGTGACCTTGTCTAGCCTAAGGGGCATTCTGAGGGATTCACTAACTGTTAGGTTTGTTAGGTACTAGGTTGGGATATTGTAACAGTTTGACGAGTGATTTTTTTTGAGTTTTTTTGGCTACTTGAAGACATCGCATTATGTACTGCGTGATGGGGAAATATGTGAGCTAAGAATCAGTAAAGGGGGAAGTAGTGATATGTTGGGTACTCTGTTTTCTTCGTGCTATGATTGGTTGTTCTCGACGTATAGAGGTTCTTGTTATGTAGAGTGTGACTTTTGGGTAGTAAGCTGAATACCTGCTCTGTTTTGGAGTTACTTGGGCATGATAGCTTTAAGTAATTAGATATTTAGTTGAAGAGGTAAACCGCTTTAGCTTGCCATACGCATTACTCTTTTAATCGGCACAAGTCACTGTAAGATGAAAGTTCACGTTGAGCTGTTGAATAGGGCTAGTAATAAAGTCGATTTTTTCTAGTAGTATTTGGAAGCTGAGCACGTGCCGTGTTCATCTTCCAGAGATTGTTTCCTGGACTAGAATGATTAAAAAGCGCTATCGACATTTATCCAGAATTCTTTTGCTAGCCACAAAACTAGGAGCTCAGCCCCATATCTAACAGCAGAGCGATGGCTCCCCGGTGGGAGGGCCATTTATGGGACAAGTAGCGTTTGGGCAAGCAGCCTTGCAAGGTCCATACTATTGAAGAGGAAGGGTCAGTCCGATTTTTGTAAAACAGCAACACTGTTGAATTTGCTTACCGCACTATAGCACTTCACCCGCTACTGGAAACCCTCGAGATTCTCGAAATTCTCAGGCTAAGCTTCAGAAGATAGGTCGGCAAGACTTTCAGAAGATAGTTCAATCCTCTTACCGAGACTCTCAAGCTGAACTTCAGATAGGTCAGCAGGAGCTTGAGGAATTGCGATAACAGATGTTGTAGCGATAGCAGCAAGAAGAATGGTGAAGTACTTCATTGCAAAATTCGTGTGTTGTTGATTAGGTATGATCGTGATAGAATGGATGTCAGAGTTAGATAATGTGGAATGAACTTGAAGGCAAGCAACGGACCAGTTTATATAGGGTAGAGCTTTGGTTGTACATTAGTAATTGGCAAACTAAGGATCTGTGTCCGATAGAGGTCATTCGACGATGAGAAAAGTGACATGATGATTATGCTTTGTTACCCTGGTGTATGCCCAGTAGGATCATCGAGGTACTGGGATAAAAACGCGTTCGATATTGGATAAGTGGGTCTTAACAAGACTACCATAGGCTCAATCCTCTCACTCATGCCAGGTCATGAGAGTAACAAACTCAATTAGATTTTGAGCCCTCATGTTACAAGCAATCCAACTCTCATTGGTGGACAGCTCGCGCACCGAAGCTTATGCGAAACGGCAACATGCCGTGTATTCGTATGGTATGTGGTTTGGAAGATCAAGTATACATGGTAGACTTGGAAAGAAGATAGCACTGTACAGTCTGAGAGCTCGTTTTCCAAATAACCCCACTACTACGAACGATAGAGATTAGATTGAGGACTTAATAACGACATAACCACAATGATTGCGGTCAGACAAAGCACGGCTATCATGGATGTTCTGTTTGTGCATCAAATCTCGAATGATCGAATGCGAGAAAATCCGGGGAGCCGGGGAACCGGGGAACCGGAGAACCGTGCGAAATGTAACAGACGGAAGATGCAACATTGCATACGACAATGAATGCGATGGCCTCCGCCAACGGCAGTTATGTTGTCTACGTCACTCTTCGGAGAATTCCATGGCTTTGAAGACGATAGTTTGGACCAAACAAGTGCACCACACGTAATCATACTTCTACATAAGCCTTCTAAGGGTATAGCAAGCATATCATATTCTAATTCATAGAAAGAAGTGTCAACACTATAAACTTTGTAAATAAGGCACTTAGATGACGTCGAGGAAGTGCATATTGCCACGGTGCCACAATCGACCGAAAAACATGATTATCATATATCATCCCAACGTGACCACAGTGGTAAATGTAAATTTCAGTAAGCGATTTACCTACAGTCTATCAGTCCGATCTGCTACCCGAATTGACAGCGCGGCAGCGTCCATAGAGCCGTCAGCAAGGCCCGCTCACCCCCATGCTTACTCTGCTTACTTCTTCCAACCGAGACACGTCATCATGTACGACACAAAAAAGTCTCCGGCTTACCTCTTCTTCTCTGCATCGAGCTTATTGTATCAAGTAATGGGGGCAGTACCCACGGGAACAGACGCCGGCACTCCGCTACTGCTCACACAAACGGCTTTACCTGGAGAAATTTTTATTGCAAGTGATATAATGCCGCTCTTACTCTTCATTACGTAGACGCTTTCATTCTTACTCATACCGTTACTTCTAGTAAAACCAGGAGGAAAACTCAGAATCCTTGTGGTTGAGCCATTACTAACTGTGTAACCAGGCTGCCGTAAAGCGGTGGTGAGGGGAAGCATGCACAGAGTAGTACTACAGGCAACGAGTATATGGACATTTTCAAGAACATACCCAGATATCAGTCGCGCAAGACTCTCTACAACCCCTCTTTGCCTTTGCTAGATAATGCTTGAAATACTCGACAGACAGAAACTACAAGATCGGTTTTTCTACCATTTTACATCTCACTAGAACCAACTTTCCATCTCCAGGTTAAGTCTCGAGAATCAAGTTTCGGAGAATCGTAATATATAAGCAGGGGTATGCGGCTAAGGGCCGGTGCGTCTCCGTCTTGCATCCAATAAACCTAAATATGGGTGTTGTGTATGGAAAACGGAGCCAGAAATAGCTAGCCCTTCTCTATCGAAGCTCTGAGCCCAAAACGGACACAAAGAGGAGACAGAAAGTGAAGAGGTGAATAGGTCCTAATAAGCGTAGGGATTCTAGAAGCTGATTAGATTGCATTTCCTCGTGCACGAAAATCTCTCTAGGAACCACTTGTAATATGCAGTTGAAGCTGCGATCAGTATAAGACATGTTGTAAATAGGTTTGCTCATCCGAACTTGTCGGCTGCCTGCCTCGATAATAATGATGGGTTTTGATAATTGCTCTGACAAGAACAAAGGAATCCGTATCTAATATGGCTGAACGAGATGCAGCGTGTGATACCCAGGGCCATCTTTTAGCGATGCATGTGCGTATTAAAAATGTATTCAGGTATAATTGATCAGGGCGTTGTTAATTGTTGCATATTCTCGGTCTTCATATAGAACTGGTTTATGTCGCTTGGTATATTGTGGTCAATCCAAAACGTTGTTTTGACCCGTACGTCCCATCCTCACGATGGTTCCACGAAGCTCTTCTCCCATTTATGTGGTAAAACACGACCATATTTATGAGGATGACTGCTCTGGATTATTTCACATATTGGTGACCATCTCTATAGGTTGGATATTCTCTGTGCGTAGAACTAAAAATGTTTCAAACTGCTACAATTTAAATTGTCGACATGTTAAGATTTGAGTAGATGTTTGTACATTCTTTAGATCCGCCTCTATCACAAGCTCTTGAATGCTAAAATTTGTCACGCAGGGCTAGCACTTACAGCTCTATCCTGTTGCGCACTGAGATAGGTGAATCTTATACTAGGGAACTGCAATATTTTCTAGCGATGATGTAGAAAAGAGTTACGGGAGGGTACTAAGGTTGTGCTCTTTGTGTCACTAGGGTCCGCGGATAGGAACTAAGCTCACGATAAGATCTCACGAAAGATCGCCCCACTTGAACTTACTCTCTTTCATAAAATCTACGCAGTCTCTCTTTAGCTGGCACTAGCGATAAAGAAGAAGAAGAAAAACATGTATTCCATCTCTCCCAACCCACCGCTGTCACTCAAAAGACAGCATTGTGTCGCGTCATATTTTGGCCCCCAACAATCGTTAGGCCTCCGTTCCCGTGTGCTGGCGCCTTGTTTTCGCCCCACGATGTCTAATTGGCTACTCACTGATCTCAAACATGTAGCGTAGGCGCTCAAGAAGAGCCAGTTGGGTGGCTTGTCCCATCATCTATTTAAAATAACATCCAACAGTACATAACGACAGGGTCCCCTGGATCTCACTTCACACCTGCCCCTCGCACCTTCCGTTGTCCGATTTCGTGTGAAAGCTGACAATGGCCTCACAGAACGTTACCTCATACACTGCAGTTCCCAGAAGGAATTCCGATAGCCGTTTCTCTTTCGAAGACATCCCATCCGAAACACAATCTGGAGGCCATCAAGGCTATGGACATCCACATGCACGGGGAAGCATCAGCGACGAGGATGACTCGCATCCTCACGCAAATAAACCAACTTCCACGGCACAAGCTGTACCCTTAACCACCGACCACCAGAGCAATGAAGATACAGTGCAGCCTGTAGAATGGAAGATATCTCTCTACACGCCGATATCGATGGTTGCCCTCTTTATTTCCGGAGTAGCAGTCGCAGTTGGCCACCACCTCTTCTACTTGCGCTTCGACAATAGTCCTGTGCGAGGAGCAGATGAAGACTACACCTCTCAGGTCTGGATCATCCGATATGGAACGGCATTTGCCTTTGTCACAAAGACACTACTAGCGGGTGCGATTATTGTAGCGTACAAGCAGCACATGTGGATCAACCTCCGGCATGAGGCCAATTCAGTGTCTACGATTGATGCGGTTTTTGCAGCTACCCACGATCTGTTATCGTTTCTTCATCCTTCGTTCTGGGCTAGAGCAAAGATTCCGGCGCTGATGGCATTGATCGCATGGTAAGCACTACAAAAACGTATACTCAGAGGCATAATATCAACATATCGAATAGGTGTCTACCCCTCGCTGCTCTCATTCCTCCTTCCACTCTCACTGTAACCGGCGCTCAGCTTTACAGCGAGCGATCCACAAAAGTTCCAACCCTCAACCTCAACGACACCACACTGTACCAAAGTGACGGTATTGGTGAAGGTACTTCACCCCTACTCCACCGCTTGACCATCGCCACGGCCACAAGCATGCAAATCCTTCCCATGCGCCGCACCCTCCCCGTCAACGCAACCTACACGTACTCCTTCGATGCACCCTCCCTAAAATGCACCCCCGCAGCCGGTGATCAGCTACAGAACTTCACCGCCATGCGCAAAGAATCCATCCGCCAAGTCCTCATCGTAGCCGACCAACGCAGCTCCATCGATGCCGACATGCGCTACCTCTCCTTCGCCGCCAACGCCTCAGGTCCCGGCAACGCAACTACCTATGTATCCAAATGCGTCGCAGGTGAGAGCTTCGGCGACTGCGGTGCCAACTCCCCCATTCCTACCTTCTTCATGCAAATGGGCAACGAAACCATAACCTGCACCACACACAATACAAACTTCACGGCGCTATTTGGCGATTTCGGGGGCCAAGACACTCAACCCGTCACCTACCTCTCGCACGAATTCAAAGAACCCCTGAACACGGACGTAACGCGCAAAATGTTCCGAGCCCTCTCCACCATCCTCAACGGCTTCTTCGGCACCTTCGTCGGAGGCGGCGCAGGCGGCGGTTACTTTTCTGGCAAAGCAATGATACCCGACACCGCGCTTCTCGAGCTCCTCCAGCAAAACTTCCCCGAGCTACGCGATGTCGTGCCCCAGGAAGCTTGGATGTCGCAGCGGTCGAATACAACGCTCGCGGCCATGATCGAGGAGCTCTCGCGGAACCAGACGCTTAGTCTCTTCGGCAACGAGCGGCTTTGGGAAACGGACGAGGCGAAGAAGGCAGAGGTGGCCGTTCGTTATTTTAGTTATTACAACATGTACGAGTATTCGCCACGGAATCTCTGGGTCGCGTATGGAGCGGCAATTGTGTGTTCGTTTGCCGCGGTGCTACTGGGGCTTAGGGCTCTATGGGTGAATGGCGTGTGTCATGATAATTCTTTCTCGGCGGTTGTGGCGGCCACGCGGAGTAGGTATCTCGATCGCCTTACACGGGGCCATTCGCTAGGGGCTACGCCTATGGGCGAGAAGATTCTCAGGGCAAAACTGCGGTTTGGGGTTTTAGAGCCAGAGGATGAGGTTGCGGCAAAGGGCATGTGTAGGGCTGGGTTTGGTACGGAGGATAGCGTTATGACGTTGAAGAAGGGGCAAACTGTTTATTGAGTTTTGGCGTTGTGTTCACCGCTTGGATATATAGGCAGAGATATGATTATATGAATCAAACGTGTCCTTTGTATACGCCCGTTAAATATGCTAACCATATAGTAATACACATACCACATTGCAACTATGCTATGCTTTCATTTTAGAACCCCCCCATCTTCGTTCTCATGCGGGAAAATACCCCATATACATACACATTTTCCCCCTTGCTACTCAGCAAATGGACAAACGCATCAACTGTCCTGAAGACGCAAGGACAAAAGATAAACCATCAGAAAAACAAAAGGAAAAGAGAAACGACAGTTGGTGCGTCGTACGTCCTACGCTCCCCCATTAAATCTTCATGTACGTACATTTGATAAGGTAGCAAATGATGCTGCTCTACTCGGCAGCAGCTGGTGCTCCACCGCCAGCCCCACCACGTCCACCTCGCGCTCTCTTTCCACCACGTGTAGCGCCCTCGCTATCATCTTCTGCATTACGCTTCTGGCCACGGCCGGCCTGGGCAGCCTGACCAGCAGGTTGGAAGCCAGCAGCTCCGGGATTGAGTCCCTGACCTGGCGAGGCTTGATTCTGATTCTGTTGCCCGGCATTGCCGCGGCCGCGACCACCGCCTCGACCGCCGCCACGACCAATCTGGGAAGCACCTGCAGCTTGGGTCGGGAGTTGGGTTTGCGGCTGCTGTTGATTCATCTGCTGGCCTCGGCCCCGACCGCCAGGTAGCGGGATGCCTGTGCCGCCACCGCGAGGAATGTTAGATTGAAGGGCACCGCGGATGGCTTGCGGTCCGGTTCCTACGCCATCACCACGACCGCGACCCTGTTGCTGTTGACCTTGATTTTGTGCTACAAAGCCTGGTTGAGGCAGGCCCCGACCCATTTGGTTTGCGCCTTGCATGAACGGGTTGATGGTGTTGCCCTGGCCGACAGATTGAAGGAATGGGTTCGATTGTTGAGGTACTTGGAATCCAGAGTTGTTGTCAGCCCCATTGGCTTGAGGAGTGTTGTTCACTGAAGGTGCTACCTGCTGTTGCTGCACCGGCGTCGCACCAGCCTGTGATGGTGTCGACGCATTTGGTGCCTGGTTTGGAAGCTGAGCTTGTGCGAGGTTTGGCTTTGCTGGAGTAGCTGGCTGTGCGCCAGCCTTGTTGTCGGGCTTGGGCTTTTGAGTCATTGCAATCGCATAAACCTTTGCAACCTCCTCGGTCGGTGTTTCCTTTGCAGCCGTCTCGACGTAGCTGAACCTGGCTCGTACGAGCATGAGTTGCGAGTCCTTGACTCTCGACTTCATCTCGTACGTCTTGTTCATGCTTGTCTCCTTCTCCTGCAGCTTCACCTTGAGCTTCTCTTCCCAGGCAGCATTGATTGCGTTCACATCTTCGCTCGAGGCAGCTTGCTTCGCCTGCTCTGGCTCCTGCTTCACACCTGTGATGCCGTCGATGGCCCTTTGCGTGTTGATTTGTTCAATCTCTTGACGTAGCTTAGCAATCGTCTCGTCCCTAGAAGTCGTTGCCTTCTTGAGGTTGTTTTGAATTTGAGCCTTGACAACTCTAAGTGCCCCAGTGTTAGTTCTGAACCATTGAGCAAGTTGACTGTCCGTCACTCTAGGCCTTGGAAGATCCTCTGTATGGATCATACCTTCAGGCAAAGGCTCTGTCGACATGTCGGAAGTATCCTTGGGAGTGGCCATCTGCTTCTCTTGCTGTAGTCGTTCGAGTTCGGCCTCATGAGCACCCTTCAATCTAGCGAGCTCTGCATCAGTCTCTGCTCTGATTGCTGAGACGCGCTCGTTGGCCTTCTTCCTCAGATTCTCCAGGTTACCCTCCTTCTTTGCAATGACGCCTTCACGGCCATTGAGTGATGCCTCAAGTTCCTTAAGTTGGGCTTCACGCTGGTCAAGCGAGGCCTTGATTGCAGCAATTTCGTTGCTATCCTGAGAAGTGTCCACATTGGCATCAGCCCCTGAAGGACGCTCGTTGGATTGTGCGGTGGCGAGCTGGGCCTTAAGATCATCAATCTCTTGCACCTTTGCAGCAAGCTCTTCCTTGAGTTTTTCAATCTCCGCACGCGAAGCGGAATCATCACTAGGCTCAGCTGGCACTGCAGTTGGTGCAGTTTGTGGGTCTTGAACTTGAGCTTGTGCTTGTGAGAATTGCTGACGAAGCTCATCGATGGTTGTGCTCTTCTCAGCCTGTAGAAACGTCAGTATTGGATCCTTGGTATTTAAATCAGAGCAACTCACGGTTTCCTTCTGAAGCCTCTCAAGGCTGTCAATCTGGGCTGACAATTGGGCTTGCAGGTGAGACAACTGGTCAGTGGCGGCAGATCGGTTACTCTCGGCGTCGGCAGCCTTTCGCTGAGCTTCCTCGAGCTGGTTTTGCAATGTCGAGATTTGTTGTGCCAGAGCGGTAGAATCTCCTTCACTGACCTGGCCTTCTTCGCCAACATCTGCGTTTCCAGTTTGCTGTGAGGATGCGTTTGCTTGAGCGATGGCTTCGTCGCGAGCAGCCTTGACTGCCTCGAGCTCTTGCTGGACGGCTCCGAGTTGCGCGCGTGCTTGCTCAAGTTCTTTCTCCAGTGCTGCGATCCGCTCTTGTGCTTGACCAGCATCAGTACCTGCTGTCTGTGCATTGGCAAGCTGTTGCTTGAGTGCTTCAAGTTCTTGCTTTAAGTTCTCAACTGACTTCTGAGCTTCGTCTCGTTCGGCAGCAATGGCTTTCATCTCCTCGTTCTTCTTGCCCATACGTTCGTTGTGGATCTTCTGGAACCTATCCCTTGCGAACTTGACTTCAGCGTCCTTTTCACTCACTGCCTTCTCTAGTTTAGCAGTGAGATCGGTAATCTGCTCGTTAAGTCCAGAGGCTTGCTGCAATGCTTGATCACGCTCAGCTTTGTGGTCCTCGATCTGTTTCTTTAGATCCTCAAGTTCCTTGGGGTCAATACGGTCATATCGTTGGAGTACATCCTGGTGGCGCTTCTGCCAACGGTCACGGTCTTCTTCAACAGCCTTGAGGTGGCCGGCCTTGAGCTCGAGCTCTCCTTCGAGTTCGGAAACACGAATCTGCAGTGGTTCAAGCTCACTTTGAAGGGCCTCCAGTGCCTTGGCCTTTTCTGCAAATGAATTCTGCAAACGAGTGTTCTCGCTTCGCAGCGTCGCGTTGCTTTCGCGGTAGACATTGAGCTCTTCGAGGTTTTTGTTGAGATGGGCGAGACTAGAGTTGCTCTGTGACCCAGATGCCTTGGCTTGTTCTTCCAATAGCTTTTCCCGAGTCTGGTCGAGTTGAGTTTGGGCGTGGGTCAGTTGTTGCTCCAGTCGCTTCGATTCCTGGACCTTGAGGTTCAATTGGACTTCTAGAATCTCCTTCTCGCGGCGAAGATAAGTTTCGATATCCTGAAGATTGCTTGAGCCCGATTCGGTGGTGCCCGCATCGCCAGCCACTGCCACTGCCCCACGTTCGTTCTTCAAGCTGTTGATCTGTTCCTTGTACTCGTCGAATTGCTTGAGCAATGTTTGGTTGTATTGCTTCAAATCGTCGTGACGACGTTTGGCTTCTGCAATCTGCTCTTCATAGCGGGTTTCTGTTGACTTCCAGTGTTCTTGGCTCTGCTCAAGTGTTGTACGTGCTGCCTCAGCTTGCGTCTTGAACTCGGTAATCTCGGTCTGCAGTTGGTTGTGCTGCTCTCGTAGTTCACGAAGTCTCTCCATGCTCTCGGCATGCTTCTGGAATTCGTGCTCATAGTCCTTTTGGGCGCGCTCGGCGATATCAGCCTGTGTCTTGACGTACTGCATCTGGTTCTCGGCCTCAGCCTTGTAATCGGCCACATCGTTCTTAAGTCGGGTAATTTCTGACTCGAGAGCTTCCTTCTCTTGTCGGAGAACCAAAGTGTCCTGCTCATGCTGTCCTCGGAGTTGGGTAAGCTCGGTGCTGCTGGTGGCAAGCTCAGAAGAGATGTCTTCAACACGCTGCTGCAAATCGCTAATGATAGCATCCTTCTCCTGCTGGGCTAGGTTGATCTGTTCTTGGAGTTTCTCATGGGCATCCACAAAGTTCTGCAGCCGGTTCTCTGCGTCCTGTGCGATTTCCTGGAACCCAGCAATCTGAGCAGTGACAGCTTCCAATTCTTCCTCCTTGCGCTCAATCTTGCGCTTGAGCTCTGCAACTTCTGCAGTAAGCTCTTCTTCACGACCAACTGATTCCTCTTCGTTTGAGCCATTGGCCTGCGAGGCAGAGCGTGGTTGAAGGGCCTGTACGCGCTCTTCAGTCTGTTCGAGTTGGCTTTGGAGATCCTTGACGCGCTGCTCGAGCTGTTGACGAGTCGAGTCGGCGGTCGCAGACTTGAGTTCAGCACTGTTGCGAGCGGCGATAAGATCGTCGATCCTTCGCTGCGCTTCGGTGCGCTCGTAATCCCGCATTTGGATAACCTTTTTATGTTCTGCAATCTCATCCTCCAATTTTCGTTCGGCAGTCTGTAGGTCAGCTCGGAGCTTGTCGACTGTGTTTTGAAGTTCGCGTCGGCTTTCGGCAGTGGCCAGCTCAGCTTCATTACGCAGACTCTGAATCGAGGAAACCATGTTGCTCAGGCGGTCACGTTCAGTGACCAATTCTTGGTTCCTCTCCTTGAGGCGCGCTTCGATTGTTGCAGACATTTGCTGGGATGCCTTGAGCTGAACCATCTCACCCTGTAGGCTCTGGAGACGGGCTTCAGCCTCAGCCGCATTCTGAGTAGCCTTGACAAGCCTATCATCCTGCTGGGCCATGGTCGCCTGGACCTTGTTGTAGCGCTCCTGAAGGGAGTCCTTCTCTGATTGAAGCAACTTGATGCTACCCTCAAGACGAGCATACCTGTCCTGCTCACGTCGTACCTGTGACTCGAATCGGAGCTTCTCGCTCTGAAGCTGGGAGTTATCCTTGGTCAAAGTATCGACTTGTGACTTGAGCGTGGCACGGTCGGTAGCGCTCTCTTCTTTCAGCAAGTCAATATGAGATTGAAGATCCTTAATAAGCTTGCTGTACTCCGGAATCTCACGAGACTGAGAGCCGTTCTCGAGTTGCAAAAAGCCCCCTGTCGCTGGCACCGACTGTGCGAAGATGGACGTTGACTGCGAGTGAGAAGGCAACTGGCCACGGCCACTCACGATGCGACTGTACATGTCGCGCTCTGTCTTCAGAGTCTGTGAGCGTACATGGAGGGATTTGATCTCTTCGTCCTTCTCGGCGACCATGGAGCGTAGACGACCAAGTTCCTCAATATCCCTCTGGTACTGTTCGGAAGCCATGCGAGCCTCTTGCTTCTCCTGTTCGTCGCCGACTTGTCGAATGGTGCGTAAAAGTTCTGCGTTCTGATGTTGAATCTCGACTACATTCTTGTAGAGCACAAGATGCTTGGTGATCATGTTATGTGTTGGCGAATCGTCGGGCAGTAGGTCGTCGGGTAATTCGTTCTTGTTGACGGTTTCGAGGATAAACTTTTGCTGGTCCTCAGGGAGGCTGGTGATGCCGTTCTCTTCGGCTTCACGTCGCCATAGAAGCGAGCGCAACTGGATCGTCGTGTCTTGAACCTGACGCTGAAGCAGCGCACACTCGTTTTGGACGCCCTCGAGGTCACCCAGTGCCTTGCGAGAGTCCCGTTGAGCTGCCTCACGCTCGGCAATGGCTTCTTCGAGAAGAGTCGAAATGTCGTTGTTCTGCTCGATCAGTGCGTCGTTTTGACGACGAAGCTCGTCGAATTCAGGCTGTCGGCGTTCGAGTTCTTGAAGCATCTCGTTGAGAATGCTGCTCTGCTCCTCGTGCTTTTCCCGGACTTTACGGAGCTCCTTCTTGAGATCGTTGTTTTCAATCAGCAACTGGGTCTTGGATGCGTCAGCTCTGAGCTGGGAGCCGCCAGGAGAGAAAACGGCGGGTGATGCAGCCCTGCCCGGCGTGCTGAAGCCTCCGTTCACGCTCATGCCATGGCGAGGCGTTGCAGGGACGCGAACCGAGCTTCGAAGGTCAGAGTTATCGCTCTTGAGAGTCTCGACGAGCGTCTCCAGCTCGGCTGTGCGTGCTTCGGCTTCAGCAGCCCTGTTGCGTTCTAGCTCAACATCGGCCTGTAGCTGGCCAATCTCGTTAGCAGCATCTTCCTGGATGCGTTCACTGTCAGCCTGTAGCTGCTCCAGGCGCTTCTTGGTCATCTCATTGTTCTGCTGGTGCAAAGCCGCCAGTCGTCGGGCGCCGTCAAGTTCGATGCGGAAGTTGGCCTCGGCTGTCGACGCGGCATTCTCGAGTTCTTCGATGCGCAGGCGGTCCTCCTCGGCCTTGTTTTTCAGTTCGTCAATGTGCTGTCGGAGCAGGGTTTCGGCGCGGCGTAGGGTATCGATCGTCTCGGAGGCATCGGCAATGTCGCGCTGAAGCTGGGCAATTTGAGCGTTCTTCTCCTTTCGGTACTTGCTGTGGTCATCGGAGCGGGTCTTGAGTTCGGTGGTGTACCAGTCGTTGTTGCTCCGCAGCTGCTCAATCTCCTGCTGCAGGTTGGCCTCGCGGAACTTGACATTGGTGGCATCGCTCTCGAGCGACTGGTTCTTCTGCTCCAGTGCGGACGCTTGCTTGCGCAGCTCTAACCACTTCTCGTGTAGCTCAGACAGCTCCTTGGCCAGGCGGTCGTGTGCAGCCGTCTTGGCCTCGTGCATGGCCATTGCATCGCGGTTGTGGGCCTCGAGTGTCTTGATGCGCGATTCCAGCGCCTGTGTCTCGGACGAGGAGCTGATGTTTGCGGCCTGCAGGTTGTGCAGCGCAGTCTCTGCCTCTTGTCTGGCATGTTCTGCACACGCAATGTCAGTAGAGGTGGCGCCGAACTAGCTGTAAAACATCATACCTTCGTGGGAGAGCTTCTCCTTGAGCTCGTCAGCTTTTTTCTGTGCCTTCTCGGCTGTGGCCTTCAAGCTTCGCGCGCGTTGCTCGCCGGCCTGTACAGCGGCCTCGAGTTCGACATCAATGCGGATCTTCTCTGACTGGAGATCATCATAGGCGCGCGCTTTGGCTTCGATCTGAGTGAGCAGTGTCTGGACAAGCTCTACGGTGGGTTCGGATAGGAGCGACTGCAGCGTCGTCTCGGGGACGGAATACGACGCGGCCAGGTAGCCAACGTCGAATGTTGCGGCCGCCATGGTGTGTGTTATGGTTTATCGCACGTCCCGGCGCATTATCGACAGCAGTCCTAAGGTGGTGGACAAGGACTGCAGACAAACGAAAGACGGCGATGGGGATGTTCGACGCGAACAAGAAATGGCGCCTTGTTCTCTAAAGTCGCGAGCCAGCAGTGCTTTGACGACAAGGCGGCGCATGGGCCAGGGGCTAGTCCTGCATGTGCTCATGCCCTTGTCTTCTTTGTCTCCGCTGCCTTGACCTTGACCTTCACCTTCACCTTGCACCCACTCACACCCACATACACGCCCACGCTCACTTCAATACACCCCCGACTCTGCCCTAATCGCTGTGCGACTCTTTAGCTAGACGCTGCACACTTGGCCCCCATTCACGCCGCTGACTTGTCAACCATCACTACGCCTTTTCCATCCATCAGCCTTCATCTACCCGTGTCGCCCTTCCACAGCCATGTCTTTCCTTAAAGCGAACTCGTCATCTGCAGCCAATGCACCCTCGCCGACGCCATCAACCTCCTCTGCAAGTGGCTCCAAGCGCAAGCGTCCTGCTGATGGCGCGCCTCCAGTCGTCTACTCGCAGCCGCAAGATACAGGCACCGGCGAGCACGTCTTCACCCGCCTCACCTACGTCAACGATTTCCTGCGCGAGCGCAAGGACAAATGGCACAGTTTCGAAGACATTATGGAGTACCTCAACATCCCGCCTGGCCATATCCAGCGCCAGCAGCTGCGCCAGCTAATGCGTGCCGACAACCAAGGCAACCGAATTTCATGGGACTCGCAGGTTCGTAGTGCATGCGGACGTAGTGTCTTCTATTGATACTGACCTTGTATCCTTGCATGTAGAACGAGAGGTACAAGTACAAGAGCAAACTGGACATTCACAATCGCGCCCAGCTCAAAGGCCATTTCCAAACGCAGAAGTCGGCCCTGGGCTTGCAGATCAAGGACTTGAAGGATGGCTGGTCCAATGTGGCCGAAGACATTACCAAGATGGAGGAGAAGAACGAGGTGTTGGTGCGACGAGCCAAGGACGGCGTTCCAAAGACGGTCTGGGCCAATGACCCTTCTCTCATGCTGCCCATGGACCCAGTATTTGCAAAGACGTGGCATTCGGTCCAGGTTCCCGACAATCCAGAGGAGTTGCGCAAGGTGCTTTTGGCCAACAAGATGACAGCCGCTACCCAAGCAAAGGTCATTGTCGCTGCCCCCACGACAAAAAAGAAGAAGGGTCCTCGCCGTGGTGGCAAGCAGACGAACACGCACATGATTGGTATTCTGAAGGATTTCTCTGGCATGAGAAAGTAGACTGTTTGATTTTGCATAGCGCGGCGTTTGGTTTCTGCTTTACCTGATAATACACAACGGCCTCTAATGAAGCTTGATCTGATGTTTACTAAACTTGTACATTACACACATGGTGGGGTTCACTAGGTAAGCGTATCATAGACCAAACGTAAGACACTGGTGTTTCATTCAAAACAACGAGGCTATCGAAACTACAGATATGATTACTTGAACGAGGCCTACTTTCCAATCCCGTTTACCCAAGGGTTCCCCAAGAGCTCATGCCTAGGTCTATAGGCAGTTGCGTCTACACCACATGCTACACCACATGTTCCAATTCTATTTCAGCTAGCACACGCTGCACAGCTAGCATTGCGCGTTCTATATCATCTATTTGACGTGCCTATCAGTACCGCCCATAAATTGCGTAAAACGTGAAATACCTTGATTATTTTTGGCTTTGATCGTCTTGAGGTACCTCCTCGTGGCGATTAAGCCTATAGTAGACAACACAATTACTACTAAGAACGATAGACATCCCCACACCCAGCCGTAAGCATACCAAGTTGCCAGGCCAGTACCAATGGCGAAGACAGTTCTGACAATGACAAAGTTCTGTACAATCCACTCATCACGAGTAGCCTCAATCATTACTTTCCAGACCTTCCATTCCTTGACAGACTGCAACCATACATCACAGTTACGGCAACTCATTGTGCTCATGACAGCCATTATATCTGCTCGAATCCCTAGATTCCGCCGTTGGTTATTGAAAGAAGATCTCATCAAGAGAAGCACTGCTCATAGCCCTTTTTATCCCTATTTGCCTCGCAGTACGCTAAGTAAGATGCCCGACCATACACTCCCTTCGCTACATATGCAGTTAGCGTGTAGTAGGTAGCTAAATCAGCCAATCGCGCTTCTGATTCCACTTCCTTCTATGGAGCTTCGGTGGAGCATGGTGGCTTAGCCAACCAATTCACTCTCCCACATGGCCTAGACCGGTCCCACGTCATCGCTTGGAATCGGAGATGGTGGAAAAAAAT